TCAGGCGGCGGCGGCTGCTGCTGGGCGGATCGGCGGGGCCGCGTAGTAGAGTGGCGGCGGGGCCGCGACCGAAGAGAGCGGCGGGGCCGCTTAGCAGAGGGCGGCGGGGCCGCGACCGAAGAGAGCGGCGGGGCCGCGTAGCAGGGGGCGGCGGGGCCGCGTAGCAGAGGGCGGCGAGGCCGCGTAGCAGAGGGCGGCGGGGCCGCGATCGAAGGGCGGCGGGGCCGCGTAGCAGAGGGCGGCGGGGCCGCGTAGTAGAGGGCGGCGGGGCCGCGTGGCAAAGGGCGGCGGGGCCGCGATCGAAGGGCGGCGGGGCCGCGTAGCAGAGGGCGGCAGGGCCGCGTAGCAGAGGGCGGCGGGGCCGCGTAGCAGAGGGCGGCGGGGCCGCGAGGCAGAGGGCGGCGGGGCCGCGTAGCCGAGGGCGGCGGGGCCGCGATCGAAGGGCGGCGGCGGGGCCGCGTAGCAGAGGGCGGCGGGGCCGCGATCGAAGGGCGGCGGGGCCGCTAGGGAAGGGCGGCGGAGCCGCGAGGGGAAGGGCGGCGCAACGGTCCGCTAGGGGCGACACGACGGGTCGCTAAAAAAAAACGCGCCTCGGGGCGCGGTTCGGTGGGCCCTAGAAGCAGTCCCTAGGAGGGAACCTGCTCTGATTCCATGTGGAAACAAAGAACGAGAATGAAATGACTATGAACGAAGTGAGTACAAATAGGAAACCCTAATTGGGTTGTACCCCCTATGGGATACCCCACTATAGCCTACAGAAACAAGTAAGCTATAAGTTCTGACACATCTGCCGATTCTCGAGTTTGCGTATAACAACGCCACGCACGCAGCAACAGGGCAAACTCCTTTCTTCCTCTGTTACGGTCGCAACCCACTCACGCCTCAGAAACCAACAGTACCCGCCACGGTGCAACCCGCACATGACTTCATTTCCAATATGCACCAATTGTGGGAGCGCACGCATAAACGTCTTCTGACTATCCAGCAGCAACAAAAGAAGCTCGCTGATTGGAGTCGCAACGATCATTCCATCAAGATTGGCGATCAAGTGCTTCTGGATACACGCAATCTCGACATTAGCCATCTTCCGTCTAAGCTCCGACCTCGCTTCTGCGGACCTTTTCTCGTCGAGGCGCAGGTCACTCCAGTAACCTTCCGCTTGCGTTTACCAGCTACCTGGAGAATTCACAATGCCTTCCATGTTCAACTTCTCAAGCCCTATCGGGACCCAAACACGGTCTTCAAAGGTCGCCACCCGCCGCCGCCACTGCCAGTGATCATTAATGGGGAACCGGAGTACGAAGTCGAAGCCGTTCTGGCGCACCGACGACGACGTAACGGCACCTTGGAGCTCTTGATTTGTTGGAAAGGCTATGATCCTTCCGAAGATACCTGGGTACCTGAACACGACATGGATAACGCCCGCCGTCCTCTCCAGGACTACCTTGTAAAGCAGGGTGTTACTTCTACCACCCAGCTTTGAGGGGGGGAAGTGTGAGAGGACGTCCCCGTTATAATATTTTCTCACTATTATATTTTTCCGTTATCCCATTCTCCCTTTTCTCCTCTTTATTTTGGTCTTTATCTCATCTCAATCGGCCTACTATTCTATTTTCTAGAGCCTTCTATTTATTCCTCTTATTTCCTACTTTTCCCACCGACATACCTATTATACGGCACCGACAGCGCCGACAGTGGTGTATACGGTGTAATCTGGGCGTAATCCCAAGTGCCAATAGACTTGCGTGCTTATGCGCACTTGTGATTGTAGTATCGGGAAGGGTGTGTTCCCGAAGGTTCGTTTTATCTCGTTTATCCTTGTACTTTCCGAGTATAAATAGGCCTTGTATTCAGTTTTAGTGAAAAGTTTCGATTGAGAATTCGATCCTGTGACATAGGCACTCTCTGTAGCCCGGTTAGATTTGGCCAGGAAAGTGTTTGCCTGGCTCCTCTGCAGCGCTACCGACCAGCGCTGGCGGTAGTGAGCTGTCAGTTTGGAGGCTACTGTTGTAAGCCTCCCTTGCCTAAACTTCTTTTTAGCCGCCTGTCTGCCCAAGAGCCGGAGAAACCGTTGTGTGTCGCGTGCCAGGGCCCCGTACGTTTCCACCGCTAGTCCAAACACCCCCACGTAATCCGGCCGCCCGTCATATAATCCCCTCTTCGTTCTCGCCGCGTCCTCCGCCGCCCATCCTGACGGTTTTACTGCCTTCGTGTCTCGGCGCTGCAGGACAGGGTCGGTCACCGTGACGACCGTCACATACGTCTTGGCGGACTCCCTGTCCTTGATGGCCAGGTCTGCTCGCTTGGGGTTGATAGGTTGCGAGTAGACCGTGGTCTCATACAAGGTAAGGTAGTCCGCCTCCCTGGCCATGCGGAGCGCCGCATACATGAGGTTGTTGTGTGTGTTTGTCCTCTCCTTCCCTTCCCCGTACCGCAGCAGGTGGTTCGGCAAGCTTAGGTCTCCTATCTCCCCCCGCTCCCCTTGGCACGGGCAGTTCTCAGTCACCGGCAGCGGCAGTCCCAAGCGGAAACCCAGGGCCAAAGCAAACTGGCCCGGCGAGAACGTAAGATCTGCCCGCGTGGGGATTGCATGTAGCCAGTCCCCCGCGCCTACCCCCTGCAGGCTAATCAACCGGACCACATGCCCATTGTCCTCTCCAGGCTTGTCCATCCGGGTGTCGCCCACCAGCTCCGCCGCCCGATTCAGGTTTATGTGGCGCGACAGCTGCTCCTGCAGACGACCCCGTCCTCCCCTGCTGTCTCCTGCCTCTCCTAGCAGCTCGCGTGCTTCCTCGGGGAGTCTGGTCCTCAGGTCCCGAATTGCCTCTCCTCCCCTCCCTGCCAGTCCGTCCCCCAGTGGTGACACCAGTGCCGCCACCTGCAACAGCTGGTCGTTCGGCGAGGGCGGCATTTGCTGTAGCAGCAACTGCGCTGCCCTTAGTGACGCGAGGTATGCCGCCGGCGCCTCCGACAGCGGGTCTATCAGCCCCACACCGCCCAGCGCGATGGGTAGCGTTGCCTGCCTCCACACCAGGCTTTGTTCCAGCTCCTTTGAGGGAGCGTTGATGTTGGCCGCCCTTAGTGCCATCCACAGCAGCCTCTTGCTCCACCCCCTCCATTCTCGGACGGGGAGGACGCCCGCCGGCGTTGTGCGCAGGAGGTAACTGATCCTGCGCGAGATGTATCGCGACAGGAGGAGCATCGCGTGTTGTGGGTGCAGCTTGCTGACTAGGCTAAGCGGAAGGGCTATCCATTCCAGCGATGCTCTTAGCGTGCGTCTGCAGTACGCTTCCGTGCCTATCGGGCTCCCAAGGACCTTCACCCCGTCCACTGCTGCCGCCGATCCATCCGGTAAGTCTGTAGTGTTTCCCGTGGGGCTCCAAGCCGACGACTTCGCGAGATTGCACCGCAGCCCCAGTCCAGCAAGCCCCTGCAGGATCATAGTAAATGCCCTTGTCGCTGCCGCCGGCTGCCCGATGACAGTGATGTCATCTGCGTACGCCATCACTGTTACGCCCGGGACTGCTACCGCCGCCTCCAGCAGGGCCGGTTGTATGGCTGCCGCGAACAGCATGGGGCCGAGCGGGTCTCCTTGCCTAACGCCCCGGGCGCTGTCGATGGAGCTGGCGGTGAAGCCCCTGTCCAGTAGTAGCTTCGACGGTGCACCGTAAAGAGTCCTTGCAAACGGTAGTAGCGAGCTCAGTCCGGCGGTCCATAGCAGAGTAGACAGGAAACTCCCGCGTTCGACCGAGTTGAAAGCATTTTCAATGTCCAACTGTAATATTGTTCTCGTCGGGTCCTCTGCCAGCAGCGTACGGGGCGTGTGTATTATGCACTCCGCTCCCCCCGGTACGGCCACCCCGTATTGTACTGGCAAGAAATGTGACCGGATCTCCCCGAACAGTTCCCCAATCGCTATCGGCCTCACTCCGCCATCCGGTTTTTCTAGGGCGATTAGCCTCGACGGTAGCAGCGGCTCTCTTAGCGGCGCGCTCTGGTATGTGCTTAGTAGATTATTGACCACTTGGTGCAGCAGGAAGAAGACTTCTCCGTTTGTTAGGGCAGGGTCGCGTAGGTGTTCGAAGCAAGTGCCTGATGGGCCTGCGCCGATTCCATTTGGGCACTTCGCCAAGATGTCACGGAATGAATCTGTGCCAATGGCGAGTGTTGTTTCACCGTAACCCCCCAGCCCTTCCGGCATCGCCACCTCCACTCGCGGGTGTTTCGCCTGGAGTGTTTCCAGTGCCTGTTGCGACGGCTCTGCCACCGGGGTGGTTTGTAACGCTGCTGCAGCCTTTGCCAGGTTGGCCTTCCGGACCAACCCCTCTACTCTCGCGCATATGCCCTCTGCGTCGGGCTCATGTCTGCTTGGTTGGGAATTGACCGGGATGGTGCAGGCTTGGAGATACAACGAGCCTCAATCCTCATCTCGGAATTGTCGAAGTCTCTTCTCCACTGTGTTGAGGCTATTTCCCAGCACTTTCTCCGTATTCGCCCTCAGTGTAAGCCGTGGTAGGAATTGCAGCACCCTCCACGCGCTTATGCAGGCCGGGTGTTTCGAGAGTCGCAGGTTGGGGGTCGTCAGGCAGTGGCTGTATGATTTCAGGATTTCCGGGGGAAGCTTCCTGACCAGGAATGGTTGAGAGCTGGCTCGCAGTGGGTCCAGGTCCCACCCCTCGATCGCCCGCCATGTGTCATCATCCTCCGCGATGTCCTTTGGAGAGCGCTCCTTGCTGTCAGATTCGTTCGACCGCTGGGCTGGTGATTCGCCCACCTACCCATCCCCTTCAGGATTATTTCCTTCTTATCCTCGGCGTCCGCTACGTCGGCGTCTCCCCTCATTGCCAGCTTGGATGCCATCCTCGGCCTCCACAGACACCTCTTCCGATTCGGCCTCTTCCTCCTCCATATATTCCGACTCTTCTTCCTCTGCCTGGTCATTCATTGGTCCTTCACTCTGCTCCTCTGGCCTCCCGTGCCTTTCCCGCCAGTTTCCCGATATGGCTTTTTCCCGTGCTACGGCTCTCGCAAGCTCGCCCACCCATCCTCCTCTGCCCCGGTCCCTCCCGTGCCCCCTCGTGGCCGTGTTTCCCGCCGCATTTTGCGGCTGCAGACCTCTCGCCCCTTCTTCCGCCTGCTCTCGTAGGACCCTCTGTCTGTTGGTTTCGTTATTCTGCCTTTGCCACACCGTTGTCAGGGTAGCCGCCACCTCTTCTTCCTGGTTTTGCTCAAGTTGATCTGCTACCTGGGCCTCCCCTTCCTCGGTTCCCTGCTCTTGCCGTCGTGCGGCGGTCTGACCTCCGTGTTGTCTTTCCTCTTCTAGATCCGGCTGTGCTTGCAGGTCCCGCCGTGATGACGGGCAAACGTCGCCGTCCCTCCCATCCGGACCGCGAGGTGGGCTCTGCCGCTCCCAGCCCGTCGAGGGCCCCGGAAGGGCTGGCGCCAGTCCTGCTCTGGGCCGCCGCTGCGCTGGTTGAGCACGAGGGGGCCGGGAAGCCCGCCCGGCACCGTGAGCCGATCTATCGTTCTCCCCGCGGGCGGACTCATCCCCACCTCCGGGCCCGCAGTGGTTCGTTCCGTCGCCGCCGTCCGCCTCGTCCTGCCCCCGCCGTCCAGAGGGAGATTGTGGGCCCTCTGCAACCCTCGCCGCCGTCCTTCTTGCGCCTCGGTGCTTCGTCCGTACTGTCGCCGGCTGTGTCGCTGCAGTTGTCGCAGCAGCTGTCGTGTGGCGTCGCTGTGCCCCCTCTATCGCTGTTGCCGGCTCCCCCTGCGATGTCGGGCCCGCTCCCTGCTCCGCTGCCCTCCTCCTCTCCTCCTCTGGCGCCTCCTCCGTTGTCGTCGTCGGCCGGGGCACCCCTCGTGAGCCACCCGTCTTCGTCGCTTCCCTCCGCCTCTCCTCCTACCGTCGAGCCCCCGCAGCGGCAGCATCCCCTGGTTCCGTCTGGGCCTGATCCTGAGGCTCGCTTTCCTCCTCCTCGTGCCCGATCTTCTGAGCTTACTCCCGATGCTTCTGACCCCGAGGACGACGAGCGGTGGTGGAATGGGGAGCTGTGGGAGTCCCCCCCCCAGCCTGCGACTCTGTGGGGTCGCGAGTGGGACATCCAGTCCGATGTTATGAAGGACATCCTTCGCTGGGAGAAGCGGATGGTGGCGGTTGGGGAGTGCATGTCGCACGTGGCGACCGTTCTCGAGCAGTTGCACGCTGGCTTGGTGGCGCGGAACCTCGTTCTCCGTGATCCTCAGTTGACGGAGCCCCAGCAGGGTGTAGTCCGAGAGGCGGCGGCGCAGGGTCTTTGTCGCCTCCTCCGCTTGCCCCTGGAGCCCGAGTTCCCCGAGCAGGACGAGGGCCCTGGCACGCGGGCTTTCCGGCGGGTAGCCAAGGCTACGGAGGAGTCTCCCCTTGAGCTTGTGCCTGTGCTCGCTGTTCTCTTGCGCTGGATGCGCCGGTGGTTTTACGTGCTGAACCGCGTGTAGCGCCCCGCTCCTTCTTGGCGACGTTGTTTGTCTTCTTGTTCCCCATGTTAGACTCTCCTACTTACCTTGCCCCTGTTCTGTTGGTCCTTTCTAGTGCTGCATCTTGTATATCTCCCCTTTAATGTTGTAGTAACTTGCCGTCCCCTCACGCGCGGCCGAAGGCCGCGCTGTCGAGCGCCGGCCGCCGTGAGAATGGGCTCACTACCGAACAAGCAGAATGAAAGTGGGCTCCTTGCCCTTATATACCTGGGCACTAAACTGAAACCACTAGGGAGTAGGCTACACTAAGGGACTAGTCTACACTAAGGGGCTAAGTTGAAGTGACTAAGGACTTAGTGACCAAAGGTCTCTCTCTTTCTCTCTATCTCTCTCTCTCTCTCTCTCTCTCTCTCTCTCTCTCTCTCTCTCTCTCTCTCTCTCTAATGGTCCGTATATTGATAGAGTTTGAAGGTACAAACATGCAGGGTATATAGTGCAAGGTCTAGCTAACCAAATTGACAAACAAACAACGCAAACCAGTCACACAACACTCGCACCACCCTCCCCTCTAGAGCTCCAGAAAAGGCTCAACCACCACGAAGCAGTCCCCAAGGTGCATCTTAGTGACCAAGGGTCTCTCTCTCTCTCTCTCTCTCTCTCTCTCTCTCTCTCTCTCTCTCTCTCTCTCTCTCTCTCTAATGGTCCTTGTATTGATATGGCAGCCAGGTACAAGCATGCAAGGTATAGAAGCATATACACAAAGGCAAGTCCTACCCTATACCCCCCCTAAAGATCTAGGAGGGGCTCTATCACTGCAAAACAATCTCCAAGGTGCAACTCCTGCCCAATGCCGCCCACAGGCGGGTTCTCAGCTGCAGCCGCCTCGCCCATCTTCATCAGGAGGCCCACGGATTGTGCCCTTTGAAGGGCCACCGACCATCTCTGTTGAAACTGATGTAGGAACTTTGCGGCATAGTATGATTTTGAGTCGGCGTTGAAGTGCCGCCGAGCCGCCGTGTCTGCCAATAGCTTCAGGAAGGTTGGTACTTCCGCGCATGGGCAGCCATAGGTGTCGACTGCCAGTGGGAAAAAGCCAACCGTCTCTGGCCGGTTGGCGTAATGCTGGATCTTCTTATCAGCTTGTTCCCGTGCCGCCCATCCCCTGCCTTTCTGCGCCTCTGGGTCCCTCGTGCTTATGGGATCCGTGATAGTGACATCGCACACATACACCGCCCCACTGCTTCGATCCGTCATGGTAAAGTCGGCAGTTTGCTCCTCGATGGGGCAATGGGCGGCCGACTCGCTGTGGACAATGAAACCTGCGTGCTGCGCCATGCTAATGCATGCACCCCGCAGCTCGTTGTGGCTGTTAATGCGGTGTTTGCCCAAGCCGCAGCGTAGGAGATGGTTCGGCAGCTGGGGGTCGGTGATAGCCGTTTTGTCCGCGCAGTCACAATTCTTAGGAGTCGAGAAGGGGAGAGCCAGGTGGAATTTGACGGAGTTGGCGAAGTGTACGGGGCCAATCCGCCTAGTCGCTTCAATGGGTATCGCGGTCAGCCAATCGCCGGTGCCGTATCCCGTCAGCGAAAACATGCGCTGAGTGTGGCCTGAGAGTGGGTTCAGCCGCATGCGCCTGGTTGCCTGGACCTGCACGGCGTATCTGCTGCCGTGCACCTGCAGCCCGAGGGCGTGTTGAAGACGTATGTCCGATCGCTCCAACCGCTCCTTTTCCAGTATCTCACGAGCGTATGTCGGCAGCGCCTCCTCACACCCCTTCACCCAAACGTGAAGTGGCGTGCTGGTGTCCCGCGGCAGGAGCATGTGGTCCCGTGCCTGCTTCAGTGCATTCCTGTCGCCCAGCATGAGGTCGTTGAGAAACAGCGCCGCCTGGGTGAAGCTCGCGGCAAAACCGTAGACCCCCTCAATCAAGGGGTTCGTAATGCCTAGCCCCCCTAATGACGGAGGCAGTGACGCCTGCTCCCAAACCCTCGTCTGCTCCGATTGGCAAGTTGGCATGCGGATGTCGCAGGCGGTAAGGAGCGTGGTGAGGAGGTCCATGCCCCACTGGCTCCATTTGTCGCGGGGAAGAAGATTAAGGGGCGTCGTCCGTGTCAGGTACGCAACACGCCTCGATATACATCGTGTGATAAGCAGTGATGCGACCTGGGGATCCGTTCGTTCGATGAGCATCAGTGGCTTCGCCATGTCAGCTAACTGCTCCGCCAGAAAAGAAGCCGCGCCGTCGTCCGGTCCCAGAAAACTGCCCAGTAGCTGGACGCCATCGTTTGAAAATGGCACTCCTGGGGGTAGGTGCGGTGCTTGTACCGTACTGGAGCTCCACGCAGCACATTTTCGGGGGTTGTGCTCGAGCCCCAGGAGTGACAATTTGTTGGTGAAGTACGAAAATGCTGCTACAGTGTCTCTTTGTTCCCCGATGAACGTCACGTCATCCGCATACGCCAAACAGAGCACCCCGGGGTGTGTGTCTGCCGTATCGCAAAGTGTGGCATGTATTCCTGCTGCGAATAGTAGCGGGCCGAGTGGGTCCCCCTGGCGGACACCGCGTTCGCTTCGCAGTGGTTCGGACTCGAAGTTTGCATCTAGGAGCAGCTGCGACGGGTTACCGTATGTGAACTTGACGAGCGGCAGGAGCGGCGAGAGGGCGGGGGTCTGTAACGCGGTGGCGATGGCTTTTCGCGAGATGCTGCTGAATGCGTTCCTGATGTCAGCTTGCAGCACGAGGCTGTCGGGGCGGGCGTCCAAGAAGGCCCTGGCCGCGTGGATCACAGTCTCGGCGCCACCTGGCACTGCCACGCCGTGCTGTAGAGGGAGGAAAAAGGCGCGAGCTGCCTCCCCCATTGCTAACAGGGCTGCCTTGGCTGCCAGCCTCGTCAAGCATTCGCCAATCGCGATTGGCCGAGCGCCACCCCCCGGTTTGGCCAAGGCGATGAGGCGCGACGCGGTTAACAAATTCGCCACCGTGTCTGGCAAATTTCCTCCCAAAATTGTATTAACCAGGGCGTGCAGATGGGTGCTGACCAGCGCATTTGTGATCGCCAGGTCGCGCAAATGCTCAAATGTCATCCCCGACGGCCCAGCCCCAACTCCATTTTCGCATCTGCCCAACAGCTTTGCGAAATCCGCGTGAGCGATTGAAAGCGTTGACTTCTCCGGTGTCGACCAGATCACCTCCTCGTCAACAGCTGGTGGGTGCTTCTGGCGCAGTTCCTCCAGGACTTCGGGGCTGGGCGTGCAGACAGGCGTTGACTCCAATGCGAAAAATTTTCAGCCGCCAAACGAACAATGAGAAAACGGCCTTAGGAAGGCCTTAAGTAGGGCCTAGAGGTAAGGGGGCAGAGGCTAAAGGCAGAGGGCAGAGGCTATTCCTCTCCCTCTCTCTCTCTCTCTCTCTCTCTCTCTCTCTCTCTCTCTCTCTCTCTCTCTCTCTCTCTCTCTCTCTCTCTCTCTCTCTAATGGTCTGTATATTGATAAGCCAGAAGGGTACACACATGCAATGAGCGTCAGCAGGGTGCTTAACATGCAAGGTAGCCTAGACTATCCAACCCCCCTAATTCACCTAGAGCTCAAGGAGAGGCTCTAGGACAGTGAAACCGTCCCCCAGGTATAATTCTTGCCCTATCCCCCCTACAGGCGGGTTCTCTGCAGCAGCCGCCTCTCCTAATTTGATCAAGAGACCCACAGATTGGGCCCTCTGCAGTGCAACCGACCACTTCTGCCTGAACTGGTGCAGGAACTTCGCGGCATGAAAGGATTTGGAGTCGGCGTTGAAGTATCGCCGAGCCGCCGTGTCTGCAAGGAGTTTCAGGAACACAGGGACCTCAGCACAAGAGCAGGCGTAGGTCTCTACTACGAGAGGGAAGAAGCCCACTGTCTCGGGCAGATTTTCATAGTGCTTGATCTTCTTGTCTGCCTGCTCCCGGGCTGCCCAGCCCCTGTCTTTCCGCGCTTCCGGGTCCCTGGTACTAATAGGGTCTGTGACCGTCAAATCACACACCCAAACCGCCCCACTGCTTCTGTCCGTCATGGTAAAGTCTGCTGTCTACTCCTCTATGGGGCAGTAGACGTTGGTTTCCCTGTGTACTATGAACCCCGCATCTTGCGCCATGCTGATGCATGCGTCGCGAAGTTCGTTACGAGTATTCATACGGTGCTTCCCCGTGCCGCAGCGGAAGAGGTGGTTGGGGAGGCGTGGGTTTGTGATAGCGGTGTGGTCTACACAATCACAATTCTTAGGAGTAGAGAAAGGGAGGCCCAACCGGAAGCACACGGCGTTGCTGAAGTGTACCGGGCCTATGCGTCTTGAGGAAGCTACCAGTACCGCCATCAGCTAGTCCCCTGCGGAAGCCTGTGAGTGAGAACATTCTCTGTGTGTGCCCGGAGAATGGATTCAGTCTCATTCAACTCGTCTCCTGGACCTGTACCGCGTACATACTCCCCTGTACTTTGAGGGCCAGTGTGTGCTGGAGCTTGATGTCCGACCGAGAGAGCCGCTCCTGATCAACTACGTCGCGTGCGTCTGAGGGCAGGGCTGTCTCGCACTCTGTGAGCCAAGAATGAAGCGGTGTGGTGATGTCCCGGGGCAGAATCATGTGGCTGTGTGCTCGGGTCAGGGCGGTGTCTGGTGCTAGCGTCAGGAAGGAAAAGAAGAGCGCGGCCTGTGTGAAGCTGGCTGCGAAGCCGTAGACGCCTTCTACGAGTGGGTCCGTGATTCCTAGCCCGCCCAGAGATGATAGAAGCGAGGCCTGCGCCCACACTCTCGTCTGCTGGGCCCGGCGTGCAGACCGGGGTTGACTCGAGGGCCAGCACGGCTCGGCGTAGACTTCCACGCTTGGCCAGGCCCTCCGCCCTGCTAAGTACTCCCGCCTCGTCAGGCTGGTGACGTGGAGGCGGTGGGGTGTTGATGGCTTTGATTGCGTCAGAATACAGCTGCTCCCCTTCGCCACGCTGGAAAGCTCTGAGACAGGCTTTGACTTCGGGCCACTTTGGTCTTCTTGGCGACG